TTTTTTTTTTGGTCCAAGAAAAAGTCAAAATAGGCGACGTGGCCTATTATGAGTTAAGGAAAAAAAGAAAACATCGAGTAGCGAGAGACGTGGCCAAGACGTGGCCTAACTCTTGTACACACACAAAAAAGTTGTGACGATATCTGTTATCCTTTTCATCTTCACAAATATTTGCAGAAAGAGCAAACTTATGGAGAACCTGCTTGAGCATAACAGAGTACTGAATAAAGAATATTAGAGTAAAATTTAGAATAAACTTCCTTGACTTGGCGTGGTGTTTTTGAGGTAGAGATGCAATGTTTTCCGACAAAGATTAATCCGACTAAATTACGGGCCCTCCTTCTAGCGCTAAACTGTTGTTATGCGATTTTGTATCAACCTAGGGTATTCAGAAAATAGTATTTGTATTGGATTTCAGTGAATTTTTGTATGATGAATTTGCTGTATTTTTTCATGTTTCTGTTGAAGGAAGAACACAAGAAAAAGTTAGAAAAAAGGCCTCTTCTTTTGTGCAAGAGAAGAAAAGAAAAGAGAGTAAGAAAAGCCCCTCAGACTTATCTGTCTGACGTCCATCATTGGGGTTTATATATATATTTTTGGTAGGCCCGATATTATTACAAGCGGTGTTATTTGTGGGCCCTAAAATAAAACAATTTATATTATACATATCCATGTGTAATATTTTAATAGGCGAGGCCAAAATTGGGTATTAACAATCACAAAGATTCTCAGCATTACAGAAGTCGCCAACTAGCCATTTCGAGTCCACAATAGGCAGTTGCCCTGTCAGCCTTTAAAGCTATTGTATGTTTCGTAAGATCTTTTCTGGAGAGCAATAATTTCAAAGGACCATTTCTCGATTTATGCGTGCCATCCTTGTGCACAGGTCATGCTAAATGGAGCAGCTTGCCGGTGATTCGTGCCTTTTCCAGCAAATGCCAATGCGATTTGGTCTTTCTTCAGCAGAAAATGGAGCTCCCGACGTGAAATTTCTTGAAGGGTTTGAAAATTGGAGAGATTATCATTATTTTTATTTTTTTATCAATCATCAATTTAAATAAGTGAAGAAGGAACAAAAAAATAAAAAATGTAAAGCACCACAATTTACGGACATGTGTCGCCTATAGAGGCCATGTAACGTCATATAAATATAATATAAAGTAGACTAGTGTGGACTCTGCAGTCTGCACAGTCAGCCTTAGTCCAGTCTATAATTATAACTAATATTTAGAAATAATTTAAAATACACATCCACCATTTATTGCATTTATAAATCTAGATTCGATAACTTGACAACAATACATAACGAATTGAACAATGCAACTAAATATTATTATTATTATTATTATTATTATTATTATTATTATTATTATTATTATTATTATTATTATTATTACTATTATTTTGCCTTAAAAAAATAATTTTTGTCGCTTAATAAATATGGTTGTTCAAAGTTTACCACGTTTAGTCGATGATTAAATGAAAAGTCGGCAAGAGTTAAATGTAGTTACTGTCGGGCACATTTCATCCCTAATTTATTTTGAAAGGTAAATACTTTATGTAAAGTTCTCATATTGATCAGCTACTTAGAAAGATTGTTGATGAGTTCATACACCCCTTTTCCTTGTAATGTGTCATCAACAATAGCAAAATCAAACAATCAATCACATTAGTTGTCCCATCCATGTCAAGAAAATTCATGTAATGTGCAACCTGGCTGCTTCATATGATCAGATTAAAATTTCTAAAAGTCACTGAAATTCTCGATCTC